TACAATTTTACATACACATAGCACTCAGACCCGGAACAACACTTTATAGATCACAGAACGAGTTGTTTCGTGCGGTAATTGAACCCTCGACACGTTGTGCGGCAGTCAGTCCCTCAGCCAACGCGCCAACAGTGTAGTCATCATTGCAGATTGAAGAGGAAGGTTTGTATGTTTGATAACATCCATTAAATAGTGAACAAATTTAGTATCAGTATTGCACACGTGCGAAACTGGACGGGGCGCTAGTAAACTATAAAACTAAATTAACATTTACCTACGCTAGTAAATTAACTTGCAGGAAGGGGATGCTAATATTAATAAACATTATCAAAATATATACACAACTCAGGTTAACTGCACTACTTAGTAAATTAACTGAAGTGAGCGCCCATTCCGTAGTCTGGCGCATAGTTATAAAACGAAATGTTTAAAGTGAGGTGAGCGGTGCGGTGAACTAACCTTACGACTGAAAATTGTATGAATTTACTTGAATTAAAAATTTCCCTAGTGTTCTAGACTAGACCCGCGCGGCGCACACGTTCGATCTCTGCGCCACGCTCAATGTCTTCTGGCACGAGTTCAGCTAATCTAAAATCTTCCACATTGCATTTAACATTCGATAGAATTTTGCTTTGTCAACGCTTTCTTAGAAAATAGTAAACATCATACAAAAAAATAGTATACATCTTAGAAAATACTAAAGCAACAATCATAAATATACGTAGGTACCTAATATATATTCAGGTATTGAGTGGTTTCAAATAATTTGAATAAGATTTCTTTCAACACTTTTATTATAATAGAAAAACAACAGCTAATACAAATCAAAAATGGAGGAACGAAAAGGAATGACAAAGACAACCAAAACGCCACCTGTGGCCATATCTAGAAACTTAGCTTTATAAAGACACCTATAAATTTACCTCTTTTCAATAATATAAACAGCAAAATGGCAATACGTCCCCCGAAGGAGATAAACGGAGGAAATCAATTATGTTGTAAGCGCTAATTATGTATATTTTGAAGCTGAAAATATGTGAACTTTAGTATTTATTTCATCCTCAAACAGGAACTAAAAATTGTACACTTGCAACCACTACTCCACTCAGATGTGTAACGAATAAATATAGTGAAGTTCACTCGTAAGGAAGCATTCGTTTTTACAGTAACAATATAAATCAAGCTTATTTGAAATTTATAATGGTATCGCGACGCCGACGCTGCTAATCTTATAAATTATGAAAAACAACGAGAAAGCTATAAATTGCAATTCTGTTACCCGAGCCGGGATCGTAACAAGCCGGGCTCACTATCCAGCACTTTGCCTCCCGCTCACTATTGTCTTATAAAACAGACCCTAGTTTTATTTTCATTATTATTTCAAAGCTTTGATAACGTACCTTTCCAACTACCTTATTGTTTTAGTTAAAGTAAATTGAATAACCGCTATATCGTTATAACCAGTTATCAAATGGTTACTCGAGTGTTTTGTAAAATAACCCGCCGAATTAATTGTTAATTTTAGATAGATTATGTTATATGTATTTTTTGTTAACTAAAGCCAATCTGTGGGTAATTTATTAAAACTTTAAAACATCTAATCAAGTAATCACCCGTCTGTGGCTGAGTGTGCATGAATTCGAATCTAAAATTACACAATTAACAAGCTGTTTAGTCAGCATTACGTTAAAAATCAATAGATGATATTCGATAAAAACCAACTTAATATCAAAGACGCACAAATCAGTTTATACGAAAACACTGAAGGGACTGTCCATACCGGGGAGTCTTTCAATAAACAAATTAATTGCCATTATAAAACTAACGTTTCAAACCGGCCGGTAACTTGACTAGTGGACTGGTAAAGCATCGTTACGGCTAACTACATTACGTGAACGGGGCATGTAACTGTGCGTTATCAGTTTACGAGCGCATCGGCAGCGGCAGGGCACAACTTTTAATTCAGTTCGGGCACAACGGTGCCCACAGCGCGAATACAAAACCGCTTTTCACTACAATGTACGCTGCTTTGTTGCTGCAAAGATGGGTGACTGTGTGACCACTTTGTTGGTTCAATATATTTTGTATTATTTCTCCTTCTGTGATAGAGTCGTCAGCGTAACAGTTGAGCAAAAAGTTTTAAAGTCAGTTCAACTTTAATTTGATCCCAACATAATTGGCGAAAATTTCATATGACAGAATAATCGTGGTTTTTGCAATGATGGACCTTTTCAACACAGGTGTCAACATCAGTACCAAACATCAAACTAGCCTTCCTTTGTTGTCACCAAAACATGTGGAGCCTATTTGTTCGGTGTTGTGGTCTTTTTGAACTGTTCACTCGGCCATAAATGTACCGGTGACGTCATACACCGACTTGTCACCACAACCGATGACTGACCGCACTGATTCATCTTTGTGTGAAATTAAACCGGCACTTGAACGAGATTGGGTAGGCTTCATAAATAAAAGCTCTATGTAGATACCGTTTTTTATTATTAAATTCTTTTTTTTATTAAAAAATTTGATCTAGAGCTCATTCTAACCAGAACGCTTCTCCTGAATGCTACGTCGTCGGAAAACCCACAGCGCGTTTAATTAGAACACAAATAAAAGACAGTTCGTGCCAATCTTTGAATTTCCAAGAAAATTCTTAGTGCATTTTAGTTAGATTACAAGCGGAACACGTGCACCTACTTGTTCAGTGTGAGAGTGAAATAGCAAACACTCCGAACTGTATACGTCTTCCGGCAGCAAACCAATTCCACTTTTCATTTATTGAAAATTTTTCTTGAAACATTTCACCTGCGCCCAGTAAACACGAAAATTCAATCTGAGTTTCTGCATTCCCAAGTTAGATCGTACGACTCGAATGTCCGTATTTATATATTTACGTCGGAGCACTCAGGATACAATTTAGCTGTACATGATTTACGTAAAGTACCGGCTACATAGTGATAACTAGCTACGCACAAACTTACAATTCGATCAAATATATCGCTCGCAGTAAATCTATAAAAAGAAGGGAGGAAAGTCATTCATGTGTAAAGTACTTTTTTCGTGAAAGTCGTTGAGATTTCCCGTACCTCCGTCGTGTGCGATTTTATGGAAACATAGAACATGACACCTGCGGCCTTTAGGCCAAATGTCGCCGTGTCCTCTGCTCACTCATTCAAATTTATTCACGAGTTAGGATGCCGCGGGCTGTTCCCTCGCCTGACAATTCTCAACATCCGTGCCCGCAGAGGCGCACGCGTCTATAATTTGAAACAACACTGTATCGTAATACTGCGTCCGGAGGAAATGGCTGATCGATATTTATGAGAGTCGGGTGATACCTCCGATTCGATTCAATTGAATGCCAAAGTTCATTACGGACACAGAGATTTAACACAAATTCCAAATTATTGTAACACTTTTATTTCAGAACTTTATTGATATAGTATAGTATATATTGTGTGTAAGATGGTCCATCTTACACACAAGTTACACAATAGACCTCAAAAACCTGGTGTCAAATCGACAATTACTTTTTAACATAAGGGTAGGGTAGAGCAGACCCGCATCAAATTAAACCTAGTGCGACCTCTGAAGGCAATTTAACTGTGCTCTACAGATAACTGCAGGCCGTTTCTGTATTAATAATTTATGTCGCTATAAATTACGAAATATTTTTCTTTCGTTACAAAGACTAATAAATTCAACAAATACATATATGTCGGCTGGCTGGACGTCCGGCGTCGCTACTTCGTAGCGGTGACATGCTCCTGTTGTTTATTGATGTTCACAATTCGAATCTGGACATGTTTTATACGCGCACAAGGAACGATATAAATAGAAATTACATTTTAATAGAAATTATATCTTAACCATAAATGTGTCTTTGATACCTTCCTGGGTTCTGCCCCACACATATGTATCTACTATTCGTACTAATATGGTATGAATTCAGCCAAGTGTTTCATTCAAGAAATAGCCCATGTTTTTTCATTACAAAATCTCGGACGTGATGAAAATGATTAATACAATTAGATTTAAGATTAAAAAACTGTCATCCATGTGTAGGTGTTTTGAAGACTAAGTAGATACCCTAACCTAGTTGGGTAAAAGCCAGGAGAAATCACACAAAATAAACTTCATATAAAACATTTTGGGGAACGTAATAACTAAGTGAGAACATATATGATATTTATAATATCGTTATATAAAATGTCAATGAACAAGAAATCAACCACCGAATGGAAATAATAAGCACTTAACCTTTTTATGTACATATATATTGCACAATAAAAGCTGTCTAAGAAAGATGCCGAAATGAAATTTTACATAAAAGGATTCATCATCAGAGATATTATTGGATATAATGTAATCAGGGCGCTACCTACACCTCCAGTCAATACGGTAACTCGACGTAAATGGTGAACTTCGACAAGAAACTGAAAGTTGTATTAATACATATTTATAGGTGCCATTTTACATTACAATGCGCGCACTTATATGGGAAGTTCGGATATAATTTGCTGCTTTAACTGTCGGTATTTTTCATTGATCTTGATCATTGGTAGTTGACAATTAGATAACTGTGTTTCCAATGACAAATAAGTCGGTCTAGTACTGCAGTCTATTACTGTTGGTCATTTTGTTACAGTACCTAGTATAAACCTGTGCCTAAACCTACAGGGAAACTCTAACGCGGTGTTATGTTTTATTATCTATATTTTACGATCTGCGGCACGACGAACGTGGGTACCTCGTACTACCTACACGTACTATAAAATATCCAACGTTTACGATCTACAAAAACAACAAGAAATTACGGCACAAGGAAAGCAATTTTCCAGTTTCTTTGTCATTTCCCACACGTCCAGGTAATTCACAACTACTACTGAATTCCATTGAAAAAACATAATCGCACCGAGTGCAAGACACCATATGGCCGTTATGGCCATCAACCATGTCCAAAGACATAAATGGGCACGTTGTCGTCACAGTCGGAATACCTGTGCGAGCGGCGCAGGGGCAGCCTTGCCGCGCCGCGGACTGAGGGGGAGGGGGACGGCACTCCCGCGCAACCTGCTGCCTCCGTCACTCCTCGCGGCCAGTGCCTCGCCCGCGCATGCTCGGCGCCCATACGCGCACCGACTACACGCAACACGAACATTTGTGTGCTATAAACCTTCAAAACAAACGAAATACTAGTGCTAACTTAGTGAAGTGACAGAAAGATCTAGTGATGTGCTTCTAGTTATTTACAAATAAGGTAAACAGTGCAGTTGATATTTGTTTTGGTCCAATATTCTACGTTTTAAGATCAACAAGGGCATTTGTAAGTTAGACATGCAGTTTAGCATTTAAGACGTACTTATCATGTTCGTACTAAGATTAGCGTTGTCATTTAAGTTATTTTAAGTTGTCTATGTAGTTACTATGAGGTCGTAGTAGTCTAAGCAAGTGGTTTTCATTTTGTGAATGACTCGGGTGTATTGTAAGCAACCGGTTCATAGCTTGCATAATATGTTAAATGGAGTAGTGTGTCATCGAAGCCTGCGCATTCTGAACATATTGCCCAAGTATAGAAAGTGACAAATATTACCAAGTGTCGCGTTAATGACATCATACTGTATAATGTGTGTTCGCACTCCACCCACCGCGCACGTGTCGTGAGGTTATACTCAGCTGTGATTTATGACAATTTAACAATAAGACAATCACTTAAAAAATCTCTTTAAAATATTGTGGATTCTAGCAACATTAAGCAATTGTTTTGTTGTAGTGTACACAATCGTACCTACCAATGTGACGTACTTTATTTGAGATGCAGGTTTCTAAATGTCATTATCATTTTTAGCAGTTGTTTATAACATATAAAAACAATCATAATGTGCTACTGTTACAGATATTAAAGTTTTCGGCTTTAAAAATTTACATAAATTATCCTGTTCATATTTATTAAATAAAACACGTTAATAATTTTTAGTGAGCAATTATTTTAATTTTATGAAATCAATCATTACTTTTACCAGGAATTGTTTGAAAGCCATTAAAATATTTTATACCGATCAAATTGGATTGTATGCTCACTACTTAACAATCCGCAGAACCAAAAATGACGGAGAATATTTCATTACATTTTCATTCCATTATTTACGTTCAAAATTCACGCCATTCTTCCGTGCGACTGGTTCGCAGAACGCTGTCAAAATATTTTATTCCACAGTATGTCCCTATTTACTGATATCTCCCGCTAAATACTGCAGACACATGAAGTGTAAAGTAGTACACCTACGTTGTATAGATAGATATTTCTACGTGGATGGCCGGCACATTATCGGACGCAACCGAGCACGAAGAACGTCGTTAGCCGCCGCTTGTTAAAAATAAAATTATACAATTTTAGCACCCTCCATTTTATTCCTTTTGTACATACACCTAATACGTTTACAATTCAAGAAAAATACGTAACCGAGGTCGTATTGTTAACCTTAAGGTATTGTGTTGTGAGCAAGATTGGAAAATAAACGAACAATGAGCACCTTCCTAAATCTGAGGCTTCGGCTACTTACCTACGTTTTATGATTTCCCTTAGTGTTGCCTGGATTTATATAGGCCTTGGCTTTTGTGTGGTTGAAACAATCATTAATATGCACCGATTATAAAGGGAAAAAACAACATCTACCTTTTAAAGGATCCCTTTAGAAATTAGATTCGTTTTATTGAAAAATTTATCAAGAGTGCTTATCAAGGACTATGGAATCTATAATACTCTAAGGTTCTTTACTTCTCGTAGGTATTGAAAGTAATTCTTTGGATGACATCAATTAACGACATTGTAGGTGTTTACTAAAGTGTTGAAAATTATCAAGTATCTCTAGATGAAGAATAACCGGCAAGTGCTGATTACCTAACTCAAAGAGCCAAGAGTCTCAAATCGTAGGTGTTAACATATCATATAAATATAGAATAACATCTAATCTAGCAGTTTCCTTCCACACGCTGATTAAAATTCAATTCGTGTTAATATTTTCCTAAATCAACGAAAATTTGGTTGCGAATTTGTTATAAATTCAACAGGGACATTCGTAATTTATGCGTGGTCATCGCATTAAATCAGTCCTCATGTCACTGGCTGAATATTTTGTGGGTAGTGGTAGCGGTGAATTCATTGAGTGCCACTAAAAACTGTACCGAGCGGACCATTGCTATCACAATTATGTCTTAAATGAGCAGAAAACTTGACACATTCGCAAAACTGTTACTTACGACTTCAAAACCGAGTTGGTGGAATTTGTAAATGTTGCAGTTTAATTGAAATTTAGTAAAGAACTTAATAGTAAGAAATACAGGTTTATTACAGATTCTAATTAATAAGCCTAAATATGTTATCTCTTCAGAAGCGTAACTAGAGGGATTTCTCTTAAGTTACACACAATAACTTAAATTAGAAAAAAACTATAGAACTGACGGAGCTATTTTAAGGGAGAAATCATTATATCACTCTTTTCGCTCCTGGTTGGTACGAGACGGAGTGTCAGAGACAGACTCTTACAGACTAAAAACTACCTCGTTCCTTCTCCTGCCAGGACCTGAGCTGCGGTACATTATTACACTTTCACTCGTAACCACAGCGAAACAGAATTGTAATAAATTACCGCAGTTATACCACGGCCTCACAATCCTTCCCCTTCAAAACCCTAATCCCCAAAAGATCGACAACGTACTCGTAACTTCTCTGTTGTTGCGGGTATCCATGGGCGGCGCTCATTGCAAACCATTAGGTAATCCGTCTCCTTGCTGGCCGTACAATGACATACGTGATACGCGCGTTGTAAATAAAATATTTAAGTGTAGGCATTGAGGGCTTCACTTCGGTGTAGGTTTACACAAGTCTAGACTATATGGTAAGCTAGGTTTTATTATAATTTACAACAATGACCAGCTCGTGAGGCTGCGCTCTGAATCCCGTCTTTTCTGTCAAGACTTTGAAGCTTACATACCATGACCTGAGAATGAATGTACTAGGTTTTCTATTTGTATACTAACGTTGGTACATTTCGGATATGGTTTTTTAACGTTTAAGCTGTAGGTCATGGTTCATAGTGGGTTTGTCAATGAAAATTGTACCTAAATTTACCTAGTAGATAGTTGTATTCTCATTGCAATGGAGCATAGGACAAATCTACACTACTACTGGAATATTTGTCTTCTACACATCTAAAAGTCAACAACTATGTATATGAAACTAAAAATATGATATTTTTAGATTCATATAGTTGTTGACTTTTCATAGCGGGGTTTTATGACTGATCTTTTCTGTAAATCCTATCTTCTAGGAGTTTTATTGTTTAGTCCAACTATTGGAAATAAATAGTAATTATAACTTTACAATCATTCCATAATCTTTAGTGTGGGAGATACATTAAAATTTTTAAGGGATGACAATAAAAAAAATATATTTGAGACATACTTCGGCAGGCACGAATGTGTCGGGCCAACCACAGTAATACCATGACTCACAGAGAACCGGCGTGAAACTATGGACTTTGTGTGTCGCCGTGTGAGTGGGGTTACCAATCCTACCCCTTCAAAACCCTAATCCCCAAAAGATCGGTAACGCACTCGTAACTCCTCCGTTGTTGCGCGTATCCGGCGCCGATTGCATACCATCAGGTAATCCGTCTACTCACTGGCCGTACAATCACATAAAAAAATCAACCGATCAATACAGCAAAAAGTACTTTAATCGCGTAGGAAGAGTGCGTGATACGCGCGTAGTGACGACAACGGAACCAAACACCCGACTTCCTACACGACGCTTGATGGATGTGCATACAGTGCCACTGCTCTGTATATTGTTCTTCAATACAACCACTACGATAACATATATATAATTGACTTTATTTATAGCAAGGAAATACCTGGTACGTTGCTTTTTGTGTTAATTTACGATGTGTATAATTATTACATAAATGATTACTGGTTTAGTTTCACTTAACGTGGTTTTATTTCTCAGTTTTTACACCAAACTTTTTCGGATTGTGTACTGGAATAGGATGTTTCTAATGAAACGGTTCATTTACTAGTTAAAACTATCGGAGAATCTGTTGAGTAGGTTTAGTTGTTAATTTACTGAGCTTTTGATTATGTTTGCAAATATTTTTTTATTACCACTAAATAATTACCAGTTTCGTTGAAAGCCAGGCTTTCTGCTTTTGTAAGAATAAACTACATAATATATACGATATCAATTATCAAAATCTTTTTATCAATTATCAATACAAACAAAAGAACTTTGAAAAAGAAAAATGTTTACCCGTATCATTTCGAAGTCTTGAAATAAAGTTGGTTCACAAGTTGAAACTGTTCGAGCCTTCTGTAACTGCCACATTTCCATACAAATATGTCTTGGCCCTAAGGTCTAAGTGACATTGAGTCTACAAGGAAAACGACACTTCATGATTCATCCTACTTTGTTCTCGGGGGAAAATTTAATCCAAAGTGTAATCTGAACTGTTTGTAAGCTTCTCGTCCGAAAATTTGTGCAAAAACAAAGACAAATACATATTTTATACATATAAACTTTATATTTAACTTTTCTATTGAGAATGTCAAACTTTGTATTTTAAGACAAGACCTTAATCTAAAGAATACATATTTTTTCGTTACACAAATATTTGTAACAAACTCGGTCCTTTCGTCCACACAAAGTTATACCTACCTACCTATCTATAAACGTACGTATTCAATGTAACCCTGCCTGTTCTGGGCCTTACTATGATATCAATTCATCTAATAAACAGGTACAGGTTTTACTGTTTTCCAAATATGGTGTTATACATATATAAGGGCGTAGCAATTAGAAATTTAAAATCGATTATACCTAATACTTTTATAATCTGAGTACCTTCTACCTATAAAATTCCTGTTTTAGTATTTCAACTATCATGAGGCATAGGTACAAAATTTATTGAAAACTAGCGGCCCGCCCCCACTTCGCCCGGGTCCAACTCTAAATTAAATTTTCCCCTCGACATTTCATAAATTTCTTTTGATAAGAACATTTTTCTGACAATAATAAGTACAACAAAAAAACATTTGACAAAATTGGTCCAGGCGTTCTTGAGTTATGCGCTTATCAACACATTTCGCGATTCATTTTTATAT